TTTATACAGGGATAAAATGATGTCTCTCTCTTTGCAATACAAGTAACCAATGTGTTTAGTGCTGCACCCCGACATAATTCTAAAGGGTGTCATAGTCTTTCCTGGATGTTTCTGGATGCAATATTCTATTTTACGGAATAGATTCTCTAAAGGAGTAAAGGCTGTTCACTTTGCAGAGTGAATGTTAGTGAATAAGGTGATCATGTGTTCACATTGAATACCCAATGATGTGCAAGGGAAATAATAAAAAAAAAAAAAATCAGGATTTCTGCCAGCAGATGATTAAGTATTAAATGTAAGCGTGAGTTTACCTAATTTATTAATATCTCATTTACATAAGTGAAACGCCTTTAATCCATTAGTAAACAAACCCCCCCCCCCTTCTGCATCCAAACAAGGACAATAGGGGTCCCTCATTGTTCATGTACTGGACCAATCTGACCCATCTGTAAAAGACTTAGCTCAAGCATGTATAGCTGCTGTAAGAACAAGACTTCCCTGCTTTTTCCTTGCTCGGTTTCTAATTGCGCAGTTCAGAATCTTGAAAGGTAGAGACTGAGTCACAGACATTATGTAATATTAGTGAACTGTCAGCGCTGTAGAAATATCAGACATGAGTAATAATGTTTGTCTTCCCATAAAACTCATGTATAATATGTGACCCATGCTATCCGGATGCCCATGATGATTTTATAGTTCACTATTCCTGAGAGAGATTACATATTCTTAACTGTACCTGTCCTTTGTCCTAAATGGCTAGTCAAGCATAAAAAGTAAAATACAGTTTTGCCTGCAGAAGGCAGTCATTGTGTGCAAAATTTACTTTCTTGATATTTTGCTCTTGTCTGTAGTGTGAATTAATTAAAAACAAATTCATCTTTAAAAAGTTCAAGACTTTGAGGGTGAAAGATTGTGACTATATATTGAATGGTCTCCCTTGTTTTGTATGTACGTGTGGGGATATGTAGTCCTCAGCAGACTGAGCCTGTGTGTTAGATTGGCAATAGAACTACACACCCCAGTATGATCGTTAGCTTGGTGGAGTGGAAAATAAAGGTCTGTTCCTGGGCTCAAGAAAGATGTGGAGAGGACATTGTGGAAGACGGGCCATTCTGCAGGCTGTTAGCAGAATATTTTGCCACCACATCAGGGATGCAGAGAGGCAGAGTAACAAACATCTCCCGGTACATAAGAACACCAATGTCACGGACTGGTGCCACATCCTGATCATTGGGAGAATGCCACTGTCTCTGACTGGTGCTGCTGCCTGATTGTTAGGAAGATTGCAGCTGCAGCTTGCAGGAACTGGAAGGGTAGAGAAGGGTTTGACAGAGAGTGACACATTTTTATCTCAGCATTGCCCTTTAGACAGGACCATCTCCCAGTATAGGGCTTAGGGGTCATCCTCTGAACCATTGGCTTATTATCAGCAGTACACCTTATTTGTTATTGTTCATATATTTGTTTACTAACTGTATACTCAATTTTACAACTGTTTACCTATTTGTATAGCACCTCTCAGGTTTAGCTAGGGGTAGCTAGACAGGTTTTTTAGGCAGAGGCTGAATAGCAGCCTGGGATAAGTCAGCCAGGTTACTCTGGGTCAGGGCTGAGGGTTCTGTGTGTCATCTTCCTGATACCTCCTCCTGCTCTAGAAACTTGAGATGTTTCTAGAAAGCATTGGACAAGGGCGAAGCAGTGCTGATCTGTGTATTTCAGGGATCTCGGCAAATCACCAAGCAGGAGGTTTGGCATGGGGCCAGGACAGCTCGCAAATATGAATGAGCCTGATCAGCAGGAGGAGTATCGGTTGGAAGATAAAGTGAACCTGGAGTGTGGAGCATGGGAGGGGGGCCCAGGAGAAGGGCCTACCTGCAGGCAGAAGCTGAAAAGGAGCATCTCTTTGGCTCTTTACCAGAGAGAAGACAACCTGTGGAGCAGAGAAAGAACTAGCCCAGCATAAGGCCAACCCACCATGCTCACAAGACAGACAAAGTGAGTAATCCTACACCCTCTGGTCCGGAGAAGGGGAGAGAGCAGTCAGGTAGCAAACTGAACTAGCTTCTCATCTGGGGCTGCTTTGTCAAGTTTGTGGCAGTTTCTGGGTCCCCTGGCCCAGGGATACCCTCAGGCAGCTGGGTGAAGAGAAGAATTCCTCTGGGGTCTGAGGTGGTACACCAGAAGGGCCTGAGAGTTCTTCAAAAGAGATACTTTCTTTACTTTTATCCACGGTAAATAGTTGCTAAGACGTTTTTCCTCCCAGTTCACAGTTCCTTGGGCATTCCATACACCCCTAAAACCCACCCAAGTTATTAAACTCTTGATAAAATCACAAAACTAAGCTCAAGGACTGTTTACTGACTCTGAATGCAATGTGTGGAAGAAAATGTGTGTTGCCTGTAGGGGGACCCAAAACTCAGTGACTCCTAAGGGGGCAATTCTACGTTTGTTTGAGGCATTATTGCTGTTTCCATTTAATTGGTTATTGTAGTATTTAATTTATTGTTGCAATAAGTATTCCTCTCAGTCCAGGTGTGTTGGAGAATGTGGTACTACCCACAGAGTCATGGGCTCAAGAAAACAGTGGCTCCTATGGGGGTAACACTGACATCCAGGAAAATGTAAAAATTACCCTTACAGTGGTGTTCCTCTGCAATGTTTAGTGCTCATGATGTCAAGGGAGAACAGATGAGGCAGCTATACATAATGCATTCCTCTCTCCCCTGGCACTCTACCAATAATGTGTGTGGGTCCTTATCATCCTTACATGCAATGGCTCCATATTGTATGTGGGGATGTCAGAGTGTTGTGCCCAGCAGTGTGGCAAAGTGAAGGGGCTTCAAGGAACTGTTTGTGCAATTGGGGGGAAGCCTCTAGGAGGGACAACAAGGAAAGCATTGCTGTGTATTCCTCTAACCTCTACCCTCATTTTTTTTCAGATGCCTGGAGTTTTGCATTAACCTCCCTAGCGGTCTGATTATGCCAGTATTTCTGTGCTCAAAGCAGTACATTTTTTTGCATGGAAATATGTTGTTTTTTTATTGTAGGCCTGTAATTCTACATTTACCGGCCTACAATAACTTACTGAAATCTGTCCGAACAAGAGTCTAGTAAACATCCCGAATATGTTAAAATTTGAAACATGAAATCATACATTATAATATAATAAATAATCATAAAAAATAATAATATTATAATAATACATTTAATTCAATAATGTAATAAAACCAAAAACACTGAAATTTGAAACAGAGCACCAAGTTCGCACATCACTGAGCTTAGTCTCAAAATCGTTTTCATTGTCTGATGACAAATTTCCCCACGAATCATTATCACTCAATTTTGCAAGTGGTTCTAATTTACTATCGCTGTTCTCTAACTGGTCTAAAATCGCTTTTGACCTAAAGGGACGCTTTTTGGACGCCATGGACATTTCTCAGTTTCCAGGCAGAAAGAACATTAAAAATGCAGGCAGGGAACAAGGCAAAGCACTAGGGACAAAATATATGTGAAATGGTTTGATACAGTAATGTTATACTATGAGATTTTAGTGTATTGAGTCAATGTCACTTTTTAAATTTCCCGCCGGTTCCATGCCCCGTACGTCCCAACGCTTGCAGGGAACGGAACCCTGAAGATGGATGCCGGCATCGGCCGGAGGAGATGGCTGGGGACACTGCAGGGGGGACATCGGGGGAGCGCAGGACAAGGTAAGTGCTGGAGGGAATCCCTGAGAGTAGCACGGGGTTACCGCTTTTGGTACTGAAAGATAAGCCCGAGCTGCACTCAGAAATACCACCAGGGGGGTTAAAGTACAGTAGTCAAACCTTTTTCTTAGTTTAGGACAGGGTAGGGAATGATTATAAGGACTTTAAAAAGCCCCTTTCTCTTCAAACTAACGGGAAACCCCTGTTATACAAATGTCACCAGAACAGGTGTCCCCATTGGTAGAATTATCCTCACCTCCTATTCTGCCTTTAACCTAAATCATGGTAAAAAATGGTCAGCGGAGCAGGTACAGAAAATAGAACTCTCCAGAGGGGACAGAAACAGCAATACAAACTTGATAGGGGTTCTAACCCTCCCTTATACCATCCAAAACAAAAAAAGAACAAAAAAAAGATGTACAGGCAAAAAAATGGACACACTACATGATTTGCAGGTGTGAAAGTGATGGCACCAACAATTTGCCCTCTTTGAAGCACAGAAAGCTCTGACATTACTAGCGCACACAGTGAATGATGAAAGTGAGGCTTCCCAACTATTAGCTAAGTGTCTCATTACACAGCAGAAGCAACAGAATGTTACATCATGTCCGCTTTCAACGCAAAACATTTTGTCACTTTCACACCTTCATTTTCTACGATGCACTGACTGACCACTTTATTAGGTACTCCTGTTCAATTGCTTCGTAACACAAATTGTTAATCAGCCAATCACATGGCAGTAACTCAATGCATTTAGGCAAACGACTTGCTGAAGTTCAACTCCAGCATCAGAATGTGAAAAGGAGATTTTAGTGACTTTGAACATGGCATGGTTTTTGGTGCCAGATGGACTGGCCTGAGTATTTCAAAAACTGCTGATCTACTGGGATTTTCACACACAACCATCTCTAGAGTTTACACAGAATGGTCCAAGAAAAAGTACCAAAAAATATCCAGTGAGCAGCAGTTGTGTGGACGAAAATGCCTTGTTAATGTCAGAGATCAGAGGAGAATGGGCAGACTGGTTCCAGATGATAAAAAGGCAACAGTAACTCATGTCAATATGGACCAAAATCTCTGAGGAGTGTTATCAACTGAATCTACGCCATGAACAATTAAGGCAAATCTGAAGGCAAAAAGGGGTCCAACCCGGTACTAGCAAGGTGTATCTAATAAAGTGGCCGGTGAGTGTATTTCATTCATTAAATTCACTATTTAGCTTATATATTCACCTTGATCCTTTTTATAATATGTAAAAGTTAATTCGAGGCACATGTCTCAGACAAAGATCTTACATTTCAACTATTTATTCTTTTTTCCTTTTCCCGTTCCTTTTCAAGTGTTCAGCCCATAGATGAGGCTGCTGCTGGGTTTCTTAAGAATACTGATTTCTGTTTGTGGTATTGTCAGCCCCAGGAGAACTCCCTAATTGCTTGGGGAACCCTTGTCTTTTATTGTGGACTGCTATTTTGTCAGGCCACTTGCCTTTGCCCTCTGTTGATTAGGTGTCCCTACCAAGAGGCTTTTCCTTCTGCCAGCATAGTTCTCAAGGACATAAAGGGACACACCAAACTACCTGCTGTGATATGCTGACAGGTACCTATTGTAATCATTAGGAAAGCAAGAAATAAAAATACATAAATACATAAAAAGGAACAACTAAGACCACAACAAAAGGAGACTTTGCAAAGCAATATTTTACAGAAGAATCCCCCTATATTTCTGGCATTGTTAAGTAAATTGTGGTATTTTGATTCAATGAGAGATGTTTTATTTTTTAAAGCCCTTGTCAATCAAAGCTTGACTTGACAAGCCAGGGGTCATTTATTTAACCATATTTTTATCACTGGCAAACATAGAAATTTATAGCATGCTCTGAAGGAATGATTTATATACTCAAGAAGGAAGAGGGGGATGAGGGTCTGGTATGTATTTTATGGTGGGGTGGGGCACAGCATTAATTACAAAGTAAAAAAAGCTTGCAGGGAAAAGTGAATTATTGTCTATAAGTACACTCACCGGCCACTTTATTAGGTACACCTTGCTAGTGCCAAGAAAAAACCCATTACACCACCACCGCCAGCCTGAATCGTTGATACAAGGCAGGATAATGTTGTTTATGCCAAACTCTGACCCTACTATCTGAAATCAAATGCCTATTCTCATCTGACCTCTGACATCAACAAGGCATTTTTATCCACACAACTGCCGCTCACTGGATATTTTCTCTTTTTTGGACCATTCTCTGTAAACCCTAGAGATGGTTGTGCATGGAAATCCCAGTAGACCAGCAGTTTTTGAAATACTCAGACCAGTCCGTCTGGCACCAACAATTATGCCACATTCAAAGTCATTTAAATCCCCTTTCTTCCCCATTCTGATGCTCTGATTGAACTTCAGCAAGTCGTCTTCACCACGTCTAGATGCCTAAATGCAATGAGTTGCTGCCATGTGATTGGCTGATGAGCAATTTATGTTACCAAGCAATTGAACAGGTGTACCTAATAAAGTGGTTGGTGAGTGTATGTATATATATATATATATATATATATATAAAATATATATATATATATATATATTCTTGCTATACAAAAATTTGACGTGGTAGGATCCTTTAGATCTCATATGGATTTGAAGCGGTAACCCTAAGTAGAAAGTCCATGCCAGGCCCTTTAGATCTGGCCAAAAAAAATGACTTGTTGTCCCCCCCCCAAACCCATACCAGACCCTTAATTTGACCCCCCCCACACACATGGGGAGGGGCCCATGCTGATGAAGATAAGAGCCTCTTCTCAATAACCGTGTTCTGGTGGTTGTTTGGGGGCATGGGGGACTTACCAGAATCTTATTCACAAAAAAAGTCAGTTGTAAATAAACACACACAAGTTTTTTGGTCCATTATTAAAACAAAAAGCATTGGAAATCTTCAATCGTAATAAATTTCACCCACTGATCATTGCACACCAATCATAAATAGAAAAACCATTTGTGTGCTGTCCCATCCACTCGCGCCATATTTCTGCCACTAATGACAGCTCTAAAGAGAGCTAGATTTAAATACATGTGGGTGTGAGTGTAAATGCACTGACCAAATATTGACATGGATGTGTATGGTCTATGGCCATGGTCCTGTTTGGTTAGTGATGTCACCACCACCCCGCCCCCTTACTTACATTGCCGGGGATTCCATGTAAGTGATTGAGGGCGGTGACATCACTGGTTGATGAAGTATTTGTAAACATACTATGGTATAAAACCTTTCTAATACAGTTATAACTATGCAGGTACCTTAACTGGTTTTGCTTAGTTTCAGAAATTATCTTTAAGTTTACAACAAAGAAGAAATGTGAACGGCAGGATCAACCAGGACTTCAGATGGAAGAATTACATAAAAATGATAAAGGCTATGATTTTAAAAGTACAAAGATGTGAACACACATATAGAAAAAAAACTAATACTTGTGGTAACATACACTTTAAGGACTTCACTCACCAACGTTCTTCAGAAGCATTGAAAGTAGAAAGCTTGTGTTTGGACCAGGAGCGGACTGACAACTCATTGGGCCCCCGGGCAATAGGGGATCATGGGGCCCCTGTGTCTTTGCCCAAACTCAAAAAAGCCTATGAAAAAGATACCAGGGGCATCTCATGGGGCCCCCTACTGACCCCGGGCCCTCGGGCAGTGCCCGAGTTTCCAAATGGTCAGTCCACCCCTGGTTTGGACCACACCTTAAGCCCATCCCCAATCTTTAAATACCACGCATCCTGCTCCATCCTCATTACATTTTGTAGAAAGTTCCCCATCAGGGATGTCTCTTCTTTTTGGAGACAACTCTTTTTATTAATTTGGTTTTGATTGGATGTAGGCTGTGTGAGTTTTTTTTCACTGATTGCAGTTGCTGTTCCCATCAGGTCCACTTGCTGTTGTCCGATTGGTTAATTTTATATTGTTGTGCCATTTTGCAATTATGGTATTACATGTTGGTATTTTGTTTTGTGCTGGTTTTACTTGAAAAAGAGCTAGTGAGGGTTTGAAACAAATTTTTTCAGATTTTTTAAGTCCTTAGCGTAGGACACCATTGCTGCAATATGTTCTGGTTAACACTGTGGATGCTGGTGGCTTGGTGACTAAAGCACAAGAGACTTTATTAAAACTGTTTGGCATGCACTCTGCGCCTCAGTAGATTAAAAAGGTATAGTATCAATGTGAAAAAAAAAAAACAACACATATTGCAGTGGGGCCCTCTGGGAGGGGGAGTAAGTGATTGTGTGTTGAGTGAAGGGTCATGACAGAGTTGGACTTTAAATCATAGCTGTGGTCACTTTATAGCTGTATATAGCCTGTTATTATTTTCCAGCATGTCTCCCTAGATTGCAACAGCATAATATTATGTTATTTTATACTCTTATTAACTTGTCCATTAAATAATTTAGATTTATAGGTGAAGCTTACTTCCTGCTGCTTCCTGCTGGGTAAAATATAGCACCTGATATGAAAGCTATTTATATTTACTATTAAAATCCTGCTCGGAAGGGAATGATAAATACCATTTCAACTCACATTACAAAGTAAGTATTGTAGATGACACTTTATTTTTATGGTATTGCACTGGGGATAAATTAAATATGATTTTCTGTGAAGTTGCCAGTGCACATAATGACTGTCAAATTTATACTGGGAAGTTGCTTTAAATCATCTGTTTATTTTTACTTTGGTTGAAGAAATCTACTGTAATAGAACTACAATAACAAATATTGCATCCAAGTATGGATGTCTTTAGTTTAAGAACCCTGAAAATCATTAAAGGAGATCTATGGTCACAGCATACACTTTCATTTTCTGACACCCGCGCTGTAATAGCAATGCAAACAATAGGTACTGTATATTTAGATGGAAATATGTGAGGATCTTCACAAAGCAAGTTTACAAATGTCGAGATGGTTAAATTAATAGTAGCGGGCTATAAATAATTGAAATTTAATTTAGAAATGACTAAAACTATTTTTACTTTTTTAACACTTTAAGTTGCAGAAGTCAGCCAGTCA